ACAAGAATTCTGTCTAGCCAGACCGATGCTACCGCACGTGCAATGGTGCACGTGCCGTCATATATAATAATATAATACGCATGTATTATACATACAAACCTTTTACTGGAATCATTCTGTCTATTGATGAAAACCGCATCAAAATTTGTAGTTTAAAAGATCAAGCGTACAGACGGCGGGAAGCGACTTTGTTTTATGCTACATAGAGAAGAGATTTAATAAAATAAAAATCATTAAAATTGGTTCATAAACAAAGAAGCCCGAACACATATAACATGTAAATATAGACGATCTAGCCTCCTCTTTGTTTTGTACTTAACTGTAAGTTTGTATATCACTTCAGTTTAAAAAAAAGAATTTTATCAACGTAGTACCTACTATGTCCAAGGCAGACCTACATGCTTCAACTTTTTGGATGTTGTACACTACGCTCATAACAATTTGCTTTGATTAGAAGCAAGAGAATTCGTGATATTTTATTATATTTATTTATATTACTTTATGATACGTTTAAGTAAGACTGTGTAGTGGCGGTGTAAAGAACATCCACTACCCCATATCATCTCATGGGTGTCGTAAGAGGCGACAGAGGGAAACAAACCAGGAGATAGGCAGCAGTGGAGGCCTATGTTCAGCAGTGAACTAATAGGCTGTATAGGATGGATGTATAGACGATAATCTACCAGGAGCACATGACGCACTGAGAGATGAAATTTTCAAATCTACAGTAACATTACAACTATGGCAAATACCCCCCCCCCCCCTATGAGGCAATCTATGGGGGATGCTTATGTTCAGCAGTGGATTTTAATAGTCTGTAACGGTAACGCTTAAGTGTGAGGTACAAATCAGAACTATAGCTGCTATCAGAAGTGATATCTGCGCAAACCAAAAACCAATTTAAAAACAGATTAGTACCTACAACTAAAATAGAACAATTATACATTTCAAACTAGGATACAGGCTTATATCAGTTGTTACATCTGCTGGCCTGTTAAATAATAATAATAATAATACTTGGCTAAAATCTTTTGCGAAAAGGTTGAGCAAATTTAAACTTTTCCGATAATAATAAGAATATAGAAAACACATTTTTACAAAATCTAAATATACGTAAAGTAAAATCCCATGATGTTTTGCTTCAAAGATATATTAAGGATATGTTATTTATGGGAATATAATGATATAAATCTTATTTAATTTCAAATGTACCTAGACCACAATCAAAGGAATAGTGAAAAAGAAGCGGTTAAGGAATGAAAGGTCTACTCCGAAATTATGTTCCGTGAAAAGATAAATTGCCCAACCGCACTGATTTATTGCTAAAAAGAAACTTGAGCAGAGAAATATATTTCCACCGAGCAATTTTCTGAAGGGAGATTAGTAAAAATACAGATTTTCTTCTCTTAGCGTTTATTATGCAAATCCTTTTTGCAAAGTTTTTAACTTTTTAAAAGGCGCAGGTGTTGTTGCCACTTAAAAATAATAAATACTACCAAAATTTCTTAAAGAAATTTCAAAAGTACGTTTTCTATTTTCCAATGGTTTTGAGGCAAGAACTTAAGACACTTAAGTTTTTTTTTTTAATAGAGTAACGATGTTAAACGAGCACACAAACCACCTGATGGTAAAAAGATACTGTGGCCCATAGACATCTACATTTATCCTCGATAAAGAATCAATATGCAGTCGCGTTGTCATCCCTGAGGACTAAGGCTGAGATCTATAGACCGTACTTTGTGCTTTGCTCAGACTTTACTTTCGAGCTAAGACAATGTTGGTATTTATAGAGCTAACTTCGAAGTCGTGATGAGTGAGCGCTTAGCAAAGCTTGAGTCAACGAAAACGACGACTTACGTAAAACTCAGGATATTATCCAAAACCATTGCTTTTAAATTGTTGTGTTTATGTTACTCTAATTAATTATTAAAATAAATAGGTAATTTTAGGCCGTCTTCTAGTTTTAAATAGCATTAATCCATTTCCTATTTACGTAATTTCAAACTTATTTCGAATTTCTTAAAATCTTTTTTTTTTTCTAATTTTGGGCTCATACTATACAATACAATACAATACTCTTTATGGTACACACCATTTTTAAACGTGGTAGAGCCATGCTGCAGCTATATTATGGTTGTAGCACGAATGGGTCGGCTCGACCGGGGAAAGACCACGCTCTCACAGAATACCAGCGTAAAATAGCAGCTTAACGCTGCTGTGTTTCGTATGGTGAGTGTAGAGAACCGGAGACCCTTTTTACTGGAAACGAGGCATTCCATCTTAGTCCTCACGGGTGACAACGCATCTGCATTTTGATTCGTAATCGAAGATAGATGTAGATGTCTATGGGCCACAGCAACCACTTACCATCAGGTGGACTGTGTGCTCGTTTGTCACCCTTATCCTATAAAAAAAAACACCAAGAAAAGTTAAAAATATCAAAAAGAAAAAATAAACAACTATTGAGGGATATACAAAGGGCGGTCTTATTGCTACATAGCAATCTCTTCCAGACAACCCAGAAGGAGAAATAAATAAAAATAAGAAAAAGAACAATGGGTAGGTTTCACTAAAATAAAAAATAAATAAAATAAAAATAAAGATACAAACTTATGCAATAAAAAGACAACATTCTTCAGGTAGATCAATGACCATAATTAAGCCGAGGAATGAAGAGCGGTTAGAGAGACAAATAATATTCCTTAACCTGTTTTTGGAACACATAATAAGGATCGAGCACTTTTAATTGAGTGGGGTAAGGAGTTCCAAAGTCTTACTCCAAGAACAGAAAATGATTTGTCATAAGTCGAGGAGTGCAATTTAAAACGTTCTTTTAGATAGGAAGCACTTGATAAATTAAATAAGATGCAGTAGCGAGCAGAAAGTATATGAGTATTCCGACGGAGACGGATTGGGAGCCACTTGAGCTCAGTGCGGTATTCTGAGACATGGTCATATTTACGAAGCCCAAATATGAACCGTATACAGAGATATTTGGAGCCGATCAAGTTTGTTAAGTTGCGCAATGCGCAATGCGTATGCAAGTTTGTAAAGATTGTGTAAGCGTAATTTTGGTGGAAATGGGTAAAAAGTAGTTAAGCCTCCGGAGTGAAGCATATGTGGCAAACATTTTACGGTTCACTGCATAATTTGGGAAGTCCAATAAAGACTGAAATCCAAAAGGATACCTAAGTTTTTGACAACGTCATTATAAGGGGTAGGAACTCCATTAAATATAACGGGTTGTAGTTGACTTTTTTTATTTCGAAAATCATTCTTGAACTCCCAATAATTATGGCTTGGGATTTTAAAGGGTTCACCGTTAACCCATAAGAACGACTCCAGTCAAGAATACATGCCAGTTCCTTATTGATACACTCCACTGCTTTGGGAAGATCTTCAATGGTTGTTTGTAAGTATATTTGGAGATCATCTGCATACAAGTGGTAGAGAGAAGATAGTTGGGATGTAATCGTATTAATAAAGATAAAAGAAGAGATTAGACGCCACCTTGTGGAACACCAACTACTGTATCAAACCACGAAGAAAGTCTTGGACACGAATACGTTGCCGGCGCCCATACAAATAACTATGAAACCAGGAAATTGCAGTTGGAGATATGTTAAGAGAACGCAAAATCCCTAACAGAATGTCATGATCAACAGTATTGAAGGCATTGTTGAAATCCAGCAACACCAATAATGTGATGTGATGATTTTCCATACCGTGGCGAATGTCGTCCATCCTCGTTCTCATACGATCGTTTTCTATTTCATGTAACAATAACTTATTTATTAAATACAAATTGGATTGTTTACGATTTTTAAATATCATTATTTTTTAATTTAATACCTTAAAATCAAGAAATCCATTAATTTTTTATCTGTCTGGGCCTTAGAATAAGTTTAGCTTAATCTTTTTCTTTTTTTTATAGGATCGGTTGACAAACGAGCACACAGTCCACCTGATGGTAAGTGGTTACTGTGACCCATAGACATCTATATCTATCTCAATAAAGACTCAAGATGCAGATGCGTTGTCACCCGTGAGGACTAAGATGGAATGCCTCTTTGCCAGTAAAAAGGGTCTCCGGTTCTCTACACTCACCATACGAAACACAGCAGCATTAAGCTGCTATTTTACGCTGGTTTTCTGTGAGAGCGTGGTCCTTTCCCGGTCGAGCCGACCCATTCGTGCTACAACCATAATATAGCTGTAGCATGGCTCTACCACGTCGAAATCTTAGCCTGTGTTTTGGTATTAAGGTTCACTATTTTTATAGGGACCGATCACAGAAACAAGGCGTCAATGATATGGTGATTTATTTGCTACTGAACATTTCAATTACGTTTTACCTTATAGAAGACCTCACTCACACTTGCATACTGTTCATCTCCCATACTGCACACATGCATTACAATATTGCTCGAACATGCCGCCCACTAAAGGACTCATAAAGTCCTTTATTATTTAACATGTTACATTTCATACATACTCTAAAATATAATCATTTTACATGACATTTGTTATACAATATACATGAGTACATACATTTTTGATAAATTATGTTTAAGCTTTATAAGTAATGGACACATTCCAATCAAAATGGTTAAAAAAAAACAATTTGATACACTTTTCATGTAAATGTGAATACATACTAGAACATTTAATATATACATACAATAAAATTTAGTCATAAATGATTTAGTATAAAACATCAGTCTATATCTATAGGTAAAGGACACAATTTGTTCATTGGTCTATGCACTACACTTTCACCACTTTTAACACTATACACCCTAGTCACTCCATCATCACCTGGGTGCTTATCCACCACACGACCCAGCAACCATTTACCGGGAGGGAGATTGTCTAAGAACAATGCGTCCTATTTCAAACTTCTTCACTTTGTCTTGCCACTTAGGACTCTGCTGTAACCTGGTCAAGTACTCTTGTTGCCATCTTCGCCAAAAATCTGATAGAAGCTTCTGTTGATGTTGCTATCGTGACAAGTGACTGACAGGAATGTTCTTTAGATCAGAGTGGGGTACATTGATTGGAGCTTCGCCTATTAAGAAGTGCCCTGGGGTAAGTGGCAGTATGTTGTCCGTGTCTGAGTCGTCAATAGGGCTAAGAGGGCGCGAGTTAAGGCAAGCTTCTATTTGACACAGTAAGGTCGTCATCTCTTCATAGGTTAGGTTGCAAGTCAATATTCTTTTCATGTGGTATTTCATTGATTTGACACCTGCTTCCCATAATCCGCCCATGTGAGGACTATAGGCAGGTATGAAATGCCATTGTGTGCCATCTAATGCTAACATTTCAGAAATGTGACCTTCAAACTTCATCTTTGCGTCTGCCCAAGCTGCTACAAGTTCTTTGTTGGCACCTACGAAGTTTCTTCCCTGGTCGCTCCAGAGATGTGCACATCTTCCCCTTCTTGCTACAAATCTTCTGAAAGCTCCAATAAAGGCCTCAGAGGTAAGGTCTCCAACCAATTCTAGGTGTTTGGCCTTTGTTGACATGCAAACAAAAATTGCTATGTAAGCCTTAGTTGTATTACATCCTCTACCTTTAGATCTCAGGATTTGGTAAGGCCCAGCAAAGTCTTCTCCACTGTGTAGAAAGGGTCGAGCAGGTGTAATTCTTACACGAGGTAAATCTCCCATTAATTGTGATTTAGCTACAGCGTTTTGCTTGGCACATATGAGGCAATTGCGAATTTTAATTTTTACCAACTTCTTTGATTTCAGTATCCAGTATTTTAATCTTAAATATCCAAGCATCAATTGTGTTCCACCATGTAGTGTCTATAGGTGAGCATCAGATATTATAAGTGCACTCAAGTGATTTTCGCTGTCTAATATAATAGGATGTTTGCAATTTTCATCAAGGTCAGAGTGACGTAATCGGCCGCCCACCCTGAGGATACCTTCATCATCCAGGTAAGGTAAAAGAGACTTTATTTTACTATAATTTTTTACCCTTTTTATTGATTTTAGATTTTGTTAATCTTCTTCAAATGTGTCCCTTTGTACAATTTTTATACATGTTTTTAAAGCTTCTTCTAATTCTTTTGTAGTTATTGTAGTTGCCTTATTTTCCAATTCCCTTCCTTTGAAGAATGTTTTGCAATATGTTATAACTTTTAATAGTTCTGTTAAATTATCAAATCTGTTAAACTTAGTAGCTATACTAGAACTTTCGTTTGTTTGTTTTAGATTCACTTGTACTGATATGATCTTTCTTTCTAAGTTCGTTGTTATGTTTGCTGGTCTGCTGTATTTAATATTACTTGTGCTTAGCCATTCAGGACCGTTCCACCACATTTTATCATACTTCAGATCGAGCACGGGCTTCCCTCTAGAAGCCGATGATGCCGATCTGCCGGGTTGTCTCGTGATTGGACGTGATACCAGTTCTGGTTGCCAATGTTGTCTAATATCTCAACAACTCAGTTTCTCACGAATTTATTCCGCAGGATCTCCAACAAGCCAAGAGAGTACTATGGTGGAATGCGTCCACGCAAATATTTGACAAGTAGGTATTTTCATAGCTTCCTTTATTTTTTCAGGAGTCCCGCCAGGAGTACAGCCCCGTTAAGCTCCAAACGAGGTAAGGATTGAGGTTTGATAGGAGCTAAACGTGTTTTCGCTGCAATTATTTCTGTCTTAACCAATCCATCTATAGTTTGAACTCTTAAGTAAGCAACTGCAGCGTATTCTTGAGTAGATGCGTAACAGAAACCATAAACTGTAACATTATTAATTACATTTTCAGATGTATGCAGCCACCGGTTGATCTCTACCTCAGGTAAGTATTGGTAGCTTTCTCTCAGTTTTCTCCATTTTTCTGCAATTAAATGGTTAACTTCTTCATCCCATTAAATTCCTTGTGTCCATAAATGTTGGATGAGTAATTTTGCAGGCAATATAGAAGGTGCTAACCAGCCAAGTGGATCAAATAATCTTTGAATGTCGGCTAGAATTGTTCTCTTGGTTACAGTAGCAGCCATAGAAAGTAAGTGAAGACTATATTTAAATACATCCTTTCCCATGTCCCATTGTAAGCCTAGTGCCCGTATTGTTCCATCTATCTTTATATCTAGGTATACTTGAGAACTTCTTTCAGAGGGTTCAAATTGTTTTAAGAACTCTGCGTTGTTTGAGCACCACTTCTGAAGAGTGAAACCTCCCTTCTGCAAAATAAACCCAATCTCTTTCGCTACTTTGATTGCATCTTGAAGTGTGTCCTTGCCTGACATCAGATCATCCATGTAAAAGTCTTCCTTTATAATTCTGGCAGCATCAGAGTAATCTCGACCTTCGTCTTCCGCAACTTGATGCAAGGTTCTTACTGCTAAATATGGAGCAGAAGCAGTTCCAAACGTAACTCTCAGGAGACGATAATCTTTTACTGGTTGGATTTTGCAACTTCTCCATAATATTCTTTGTAAATCTCTATCTTCCTTTGAGACTAAAATTTGGCGGTACATTTTTTGGATGTCAGCAACAAAACAGATCTTTTTCATTCGCCATCTCATGATTAAGCTTCTCATGTCGTCTTGCAACTGTGGTCCTACCAGTAGCTCTTCATTGAGGGAAATATTATTGTTTCCCTTTTGCGAAGCATTAAAAACTGTTCTCACTTTACTTGTTTCTTTATCTTGCCTTACAACGGTATGATGAGGAAGGTATACTGCTGGCTTGTTAATTTCATTTTCTGGTACCCTTTCTAAATGATTTAATTCTATATATTCTTGCATCACCTTAGTGTATTCACGTTCTAAGCTTTGGTCTTTTTCGAATTTCTTTTCTAATTAATACAATTTTCTTAGTGCTATATCTCTTGTTCTTCCTGATAGTGATAAAAGTGTCTTTTGTTTTGTTGGAAGTTTTACAATATAACGTCCTTCTGATGTTCTGTGCGTTGTAGCTTGATATATTTCTTCACATGTTTTTTCTTCTGCTGTTAATGCTCTTTTTTCATCTGTACCTTGCTCCCACATATTCCTCAGTATGTCATCTAAATTCAAATTAAGATGCATGACTCTGACATCATAATTTTCTCTGTTGCTTTGTATGTGGCCAAACAGAATCCATTCCAGGCTGGTATTTTGAGCACATGGAGTGCCTGGAGGACCCTTGATTTCTTCACCTTTCATAATTTGGGCACATACGTCCACACCTAATAACATATCTATCCGTCCTGGTTGATTGAAGCCTGGATCTGCTAAAACGAGGCCTTGGAGTTGTGAACAGTTCTTCAGGCAAATGGTTCGAGTTGTAACTGACATGTAAGACGAGTTAGCATTATGTAAACTTTGATATTGAGGTTAAAGTTTGCTTCGTATCTTGATAAAAGCTGTATTTCAGCAGCTTGCTTCAAAATTGTTTTGCTGCACACGGCACAGTTACAGGCATGGGATATGCCTGTAACTATGCCTTTAATAGCAGTGCGTTTCAGTTTAAGTGTCTGAGCAGCTCTTTCACTTATAAATGTGGCTTGTGAGCCATGGTCTATTAAGGCACGTAGTACAGCTGTATGTCCACGTTGAGCCTTGACAACTATGAGTGCTGTAGCTAATAATGCTGTGGTGGTACTAGTAGCAAAGTGTGATGATAACTGAACATTTGATATTGTTGAATTTGTAGAGCTTCCTTGATCATTATTCTTCGCTTCATCCGCTTGGTGATTGTCTGGTTGATTTGATGACGTCACCATGTTTTGGTGCACTAAAGAGTGGTGACGTTTATGACATATACGACAGGACATGTTGAGGCGACATTTCTTTGCAGAGTGTCCTGGGGCCAGACAATTATAACACAGATTGTGGTTCTTTAGATATTGACACCTTTCTGTTGGTTCCATCTTAGTAAATTCCCTACAGTGACACAGTGTATGATTTTCTTTACACATTAGGCAACTTCTTAATTTAGACGTAGCCGTAGTAGCAACATGGAGTGTATTTTCTTTATATCTTATTATCTTATCCTTTGGTGAAGGTGTGATTAACTCTAATGTACGAAATTTCGATTGAAGAAACTTACAGAGATCCGCCCACGAAGGTAATTCATCAGAATTTTCCCGGTAAGTAAATTCCTCCCATTCTCTGTGCGTCTCCGGCTCCAACTTTTGCACAACGAGAAATATAATTAATGGATCCCAAGAGTCGGTTGAAATAGTGAGATTTTTTAAGCTATTAATGCATTCTATAGTGGTATCGAGAAGTGCCTTTACATAGTTTGCAGTTTGGGCAGGGATTTTCCTCTGCAAAAATAATCTTTTCAATAGTGAATTTACTATTATACGTTTATTTCCGTAACGAGTTTTAAGCATCACCCATGACTGATCATAATTATCTTCTGTTACTTGTATATGCTTCAATAGAGTTTCGGCTTCACCACTAAGGCTACTCTTTAAATAGTGAAGTTTTTGTACTTTACTAAGAGATGAGTTGTTGTGCACTAACGTAAATAGATCTTGAAATGCAGGCCATTCTTCGTAAATACCGGCGAAAGAAGGCAGTTGTATTCGTGGTAATTTGACTATTCCTTCATTGGATGTAATAGGGTTGGTAGGTACATTATGATGCATTGATATCGGCTGTGTTAATGTTGACAATAAATCTCTTAGGTCGGCTTGTAAATATAAATATAGATCTTCATAAATAAAATAGTCTTCGTTTGCGAAATAAGGTATATTTTGCTTCTTTTCTTTGGGAACACATTTTACAAGATCTTGATGTGAGTTTTTAAAAGAATTCCAATACACTTCTATCATTTGCAGTCGAGTTTCAATGTATCCTTTTGTAAGTCGTTGCTTAGGACATTTTTTTAGGTTCCTTTTATAATAATGCCGTAGTATTTTCCAGTAAGGATAATATTTGTTCCGGAGTAGTGACCATATTTATATAAACGTTCCACAAATGTATAAAACGTTCCACAAATGTATTATAAACAAACTAGTTTTAGGCCGGCCACATACATACGGAATTCCGTTTCGGAATTCCGAACGGGTCGGCCACACACATACGGAATCCCGTTTTGCCCGCAAAATGTCGAACGGAAAACGACCGTACGTGTGTGGCGGGTCATAGATTTTATATGGACTTGCTGCGTTCGGGATTCCGAATCGGAATATTGAAACGGAATTCCGTATGTATGTGGCGAGCCTTACTTCGATAACTCAAATATGTAATTATTCAAACGTTCGTAAAATGTCTTAAAACTTGCACAAGTCACACTCAGGTAAAAAAGATTCTTTTGTTCTCGCCTCGACCGCCCGGTCCATCCTTTTGTTTAGCACTTGATAGTTATAACGTCACAAGAGACACGTCGTTAGATCCGGCTCGATTATCGACAATATGTTTTGGTATTAAGGTTCACTATTTTTACAGAGACTGATCACAGAAACAAGGTGTCAATGATATGGTGATTTATTTGCTACTGAACATTTCAATTACGTTTTACCTTATAAAAGACCTCACTCACACTTGCATACTGTTCATCTTACATACTACACACATGCATTACAATATTGCTCGAACAGCCTGATACAACTATAAACAAGTGAATAGATACGTGTTTATGATTATTTTCGTATGTACCCATCGATCACTTTTATTAGTGATCGATGTATGTACCTATGTTATTTTTAATTTTTTTATTCCTTTTTTAATTATCATATATAAACGAAAATAAAGTTGATAAAACTAAATTGTTTGAATAGCGAAACATCGCGGTTACTAGGCGCATAATCTTTTTTTTTTTTCTTTTGTCTTTAAAAAACGTTACCCCTACACTAGGATTTTCTCCTGTATCGTGGAGGCAGTTTACAAACACAAATTGCACAAGGACAAACATCCAGACCCGGAACCAATATTGGCAGGTCATACAAATACTAGTTCCGTGCGGGATTCGAACCCGCGGCCCCCAGCGCAGCAACTGATTGCTAAGCCACTGCGCCATGGAACCGTCATATACTATACCTATATCACTAAGGAATTTCAAAACTTTTCGACAGAATAAGACTGAAAATGTTTTTATCAGACAAGGACAGAAATGTATATGAAAGCCATAGACTTAGAATATACTGGCGTATATTATTTCATGATGAAAGCCGAATAGAAACTTAAGTCTATATTAGAAAAATGGTTTGTAGAACGGAGGCGGGAACTTCTAGAGACAAAGAGAAGAAACAAAGACTAAGCTATAACTTACATGCGAGAAAGAGATAGCATTGATAACTTTTCGTTGCGGTGTGAAGCTCAAATTCACAACGATAGGTAGAAGTAGGATAGTAGAATGGTTTTCTTTGGACTTGTTGGACCGTACTGTAACAAAAAAAATACAATAAAACTTGAATAAAACTAATTTTACGAATTTCATCGCGCTTAATTTGACTTTTTTTTAATTGCAGATGTTTCTTATATATATATTATAGCACTCACACCCATAATCACGGATGGGGGGAGAGGGTTTTTGGTGTACTGATGTCATAGTATACCCAGGTTACCCTCTGCTTAGAATACACCTGTTTATTTAATCACAGAACAAGCTTACAGTATAGAATTGCAGTGGCATGCTAGGGTTTGGATTGATAGGCAAAAGCATTACACCTAGTCAGGTCATAAATTCTGTCGCATGTTTAATATAAAATAATTGAAACAAGTTTGTTCATTATGTAACCATTTATATACCAAATTGAACTTAACAAAACATAGATTCTTATGACACTAAAGTTTATTCAAAATGACCTCCGTGATTTTAAATACAGGCCTTCAATCTGCGCGGCCAGTCGTCTATCGCAGCACGAACGAGGTCCATGTCAATATCGGCGGCTGCCTTAATCAAGGATGTCTTGAGTGACTCCAAATTGGGATGAGGCTATGAGCACGCCTTTTCCTCCAAGTGTTGCCATATCTTGTAATCTAACGGATTCAAATCTGGACTGGAGGAGGGCCAGTCTTCGTGCCGGATGAAGTCGATTTCACGCGCCGCCAGCCAGTCTTGTGTGCTCTTCGCTCTATGAGCTGGCGCCGAATCTTTTTGCAATACCCAGTGCCTGTTATTGAACATGGTATGAGAAACAGGTTCCACAAGGTTCGTCAGGACTGTATTTTGATACACAACTGCATTCGTTTTTACACCTTTCTCACAAAAATGTACCTTTGTTAAGCCCCAATAAGAAACTTCCAACCATACCATGAGCGAGGATGGAAAATGACCTCGTTGGACACGCGGAATACGGTTGCTCGCTTCTTCACTACTGTATGCGTACACCTTATCATTTTGTTTGTTGTAGCTCTCTTCTACGGTAAAACTTTTTCATCCGAAAAAAGAATTTCCCGATATTTTTTTCCCACGTACCGCTTCAACAAAGCGCGGCATCTCTTCAGTCTCAGGTCCATTAGACGAGCATTCAAACGATGTCCTGTTTTTCTTCGATATGCCCGAAGCCCTCACCGTGGTTCTGCTTAACCCCATCTGAAGGGCCAACAGTTTCTGCTTACGTTTGGGATTTCTTTGAATTCGCGCCTTCACAGCTTTTATCACTGCTGGAGTCCTAACAGACCGAAGGCGACCACTTCTTGACCTGTCATCTACACTAGAGTCTTCATTGTATCGTTTGATGGTACGATAAACGAATCTTTTGGTTATATTCAAAGGACAATGTCCAATCTCGCCTAAGAACCAACAGATATTTGACAATTACCAAAATTCTTATCCTTAATTATGCATTAGATAACATTCATTAGATAGTAACGGACACTTCTGAATTATGTAATCAAAATAAAATGGACTTTTTAGATTGTGATCATTGTAGCTATTGTTTAATACTAATGCGCTGCGTTTATGGCCTCCTGTGATTTGGCCAATCGCACAATACCTTCACAATATTTCAAAAGTTGTCATGAACACAAATATATTATGAAAACGTTAATATTTTAAAATATACCTCAGATTAATATATGCCACAAGGAACTGGGATGCAGTGAAATCATCTGTTTTAATTTAAAATAACAATACCATTGCACTCTCATTGGCCAAATCAGCAGTGTCACACAAAAAAAAAACGTCAATAACATTGACAGATGACAAGACGTTAAAATAGAGAGATGTCAGACGTGCGATCGTTTTCATTTCGTTTGCTAATGTTTTTGGAAGCTAAGCGCACTGTGAAGTAAGTTTGATACGTTTTTATAAATTACGACTCTGCTTGAACAACGGATATAGATACCCTTTTTTACCGACCTACCTGGCATGAATCACGGACTTTAATATTTCATTACTCACGAACTAACGATGGAATTTACATATTGTGTGAATTGTAGTTCAGCAAGTGGCTCTATGGTGCTGGAAGACGAACAGATTTTTCACTGTATACAACAATGGACATCTCCACTTTCCGTAAGTTATAATGTTGTTTCTTTTAAATAAAACAGACAGAAGTAAAGTGTATATTTTTTTCTGTTATATACAATAGGTTCTGGTTATACCTTAATCTATGTACCTAATATGTATTTATTTATTTATTCACTAATATACTTAAAATTACAGGTGCAACCTCATGATTTAATATGTACAACTTGTTGGAATGAAGCCAGTCGAGCAATTACAAGCTTGAGCTCAGCTGGTAGGAACTGTGCTCTTTGTAATACAGTGCTGCCTCTTCGCACTCGATCACATCAATTAATCGCATTGAGGACTGATACTCAACATCATGTGAATATCAGGAACATCATCTTTGAAAGACTTCTACCATTGCAGGCATGTATATTTTTATTTAAATACTGAAATCATTATAGGTACTCAGATCTATATTATTTATTTGTCAATTTTTTAATTTAAATTTTATTTGATTTTAGGTTCGTGCATCAGATTACATTTGTTATCCTTGCTGGCAAAGAGCTGAAAGAGCTGCAAAACATTACTCTTTGCCGTCATCATCAAGAGGTACTGCGGCCTCAAGAGTACCATTGAGATGTATTAACTGTAATATTAATTTGATAAGAATGAGACGACGTATTTTAGAAGATAATGCAATTCTGTTACAAGTACAACAACAGATTACACCAAGAGTTGTAAGTTTTCAGCTTGATTCAAATGAAGAAACTTTTCATTTTATTACTTAAAGCCGATTGAGTCAATGAATCACTCATAATAATATTTTTAATATTACAGGCTACTTCAGCGGACTATATTTGTGAAGCGTGTCACACATTGATATCTGAGAGAAGTGCAACAGTAGAAGATTTACAAGATTCTACTCTTACTGTGGGTCACCTAAACATATGCCTAATATGTGGTCATTCATTGACAAATGCTAGAAGTCATGAAGTCCTAGCAGAAATCAACCGCCATGTTTTACACATCATTCAAAATTGGGTTCAGCCACGGCAGGTTAAAAAATTATATAACTTTATGAATTATAAATATAATGCATTTCATTTGAGTTAATGAGTAAAATGTGTATTAAAGTAATATTTTGTTAATATATTTACAGGTTCAACCATCAGATCTTGTTTGTCATAGATGTTATCAGCATGCAGAAACCACTCTGAATGAGGCAAGATCTGAAGTATCAGTGCCACAAGCTGATATAATTATACTGCCTAACTACTCAAGAGCTCCTGACACTCATTCTCGTTGCATATTTCCAACCTGTACAAGAATGTCACAACAAATGGTTCCACTTACGTTACGCATAAGGCTTTTTAGTGATCACAAATACTATATACCACGCAATTGTCGTATATGTAGCTTCCATTTAGAAAGTCAGACATGGTCAGACTTGTTTGAAGGAAATATGAATCACAGTTTTACAGCTGCATATATTGAAGATTTTTGAGAACTATTGAAGGGTGATAAAAACACAATTGATTTTAATGACATTAATGGGATGGGTGATAGTGTATTCTATTATTGGTTGGGACATACAAAAGAGCAGTTTAGAGAATTAGAAGCAACGTTGCCCGATTTCCAAAACCGTGCCACAGCACTTGGAGCATACTTAATGAAATTACGAACTGGAGATTCAGACGACAAAATTTCAACATTATTGAATATGAGTAGAACTAAATTATCAAAGTTGTTAAACAAAGGTCGAGATGTTATGACAGAGCATTTTGTGCCACAACATTTAGGCCTTGAACATATATCAAGGCACCAAGTTGCAGAAAAGAATCTGTATATTCCAAATAATTTATTCGGAAACCCAGGGAGTTGTATTGAAGATAGAAAGGCGATTGCAGTAATGGATGGCACATACATTTATGTACAAAAAAGCAGCAATTATTCTTACCAAAAGAAGACTTATTCGCTTCATAAGTATAGAAATCTTGTGAAACCATTCCTCATCGTATGTTGCAATGGTTATATAATTGATGTGCTGGGCCAGTTTGCAGCTACAAAATCTGATGCTGATATTGTAAAAGATCAGTTCAGAGACCCTTCACAACCTCTTTGGCAGTATTTTAGAGAAGGAGATGTATTTATTCTGGACAGAGGTTTTAGGGACTGTATTTCTTTGTTAGAAAACTTAAATTACGCAGTGCATTTCCCTCTGTCTCTGCAACCAAGCGAGTTCCAAATGAGTACACAAAATGCCAACGAATCTCGAAAAGTGTCATTATGTCGGTGGGTCGTAGAGGTTGTGAATGGGAGATTTAAAAGAGATTTTAAATTGTTAAGACAGGAGTATTTTAATAAAACTTCAAAGCATTTAATGGCAGATTTCAAGGTCGCAGCAACGTTATTAAATAATTTTCATTCCCTTTTAGTTGACAGAGATGATGCAAGAGAAATTGTTTCAGTAATCCAAGAAAAATTATTCACAGAAAATACATTGGCAGATTTCATAGAAATTCATAATTTAAATAGAAAACGGGCCCAGTTTGAAAGCATGACTGTTCAAATCAATAACCTTAATAATTTTCCACAATTGGAATATAATGATTTGATTTTGATATCATTAGGGATTTACCAAATTAAACAAGCCCGCTCATACTATGGCGAGCATGTTCGTCAAGACGGTAATTATGTTGTTGAAGTATGCAGGGAGGTTGAACAGGAGTTGATTAGTGAATTACATTTACTACATTCTGAAAATGTATGGCTCTTGAGAGGCAAAATACACAGCAGCCATATTAGTAGTAAAACTTATTTTGTATATATTTTGGTTGATGAATCAGGCAGGAGGGAGGCAATAAAAAATTATTGTTGTAATTGTGTTGTTGGGCGCAGAACTATAGGTTGCTGCGCCCATGTTATGACTATAATATGGTATTTAAGTTGGGCACAATACCAAGACAATATCAACCCCCCTGCTCAATTCTTGGATAATATTTTGCTCGAAAGTAATGATGATTAGTAATATCAATTTATATAATTACTTTGGATGCCAGATGTATAAGTTGTGTTTATTTGGTATGAATAGAATAAACACCTAATCACAACCTGAGTTTTATTTACCGTATAAGTGCTAGGCTAAGACTGAACCACCTACACTAGCAATAACATTCACCAGTTTCTCGTCTGTATAACACATTAAATACATGGTTTATTAATGATCCCAAGGATGTTTTCTGTCTTAAACTTAACCAGTTTCGTGCACATTTGTCAAAAAAATCCCAGATTAATTATACCTATCTGTTATCTGTTATAACTTGTTTAAAATTAACCTTATTTTAACATAAAAGATACTTATGTCACATGTTAAAATAGCACGCTGTGTTTATACCTGTAACTGATTGTGCATTTAGCTCATAATAGTTTATTACAATGTAACTACTTTAAGTTTCTGTAATGTAACAGTCGTTGGTAGACCAAATAAATAAATAAAATAAAAAACATAGTAATATTTCATACAAATAAAACATAACCTCAAAATCTCTATGATAACTTAATATCTATGTTTTCAGAAGTGTCCGTCAGAAGTTATTGTTCTTACATACAATTATGTGTAATTTCGGACTTAAAAAGATATTTTTTTTCTCTGTTGGTTCTTAGGCGAACATTGTATGGACGCAAAACATTGTCCTTTTTCAGTATGTCAAAAATTTGAATTGGCGCGTAACCGCAACGATGCAACGCAATAGCTGCAACACTTCTTTAAGCATCCACTCCATATTTAAAAATGAGTAAAATTCTAAAAAGTATACAGTTTTATTTTCATGAACCATTCGAAATTCGAATTCAATAAACTTTTTTGTGGCCAGCATTCTAAAAGAAAAGTTTTTACTGTGTGACAATACTTATGACCTGACTAGGTAATAGAATCCTTAGCTTATGTAGGCACAAAACTTACGTTTTTTTAATAAATCCATAACTTTTATTTTTTTTATAAGTAAATGACTTTTAAATAAAAGTAGGTAGGTACTTTTAGGACAAAATAGTAATGTGAGAGATTGTTTAGAGTAAATAACATAGCTATTAAAACAACTTTTAAAAGAGCTTTTTACGTGGTAGAGCCATGCTGCAGCAATATTAGTGGTATAGTTGTAGTACGAATGGGTCGGCTCGACCGGCGAAGGACCACGCTCTCCCAGAATACCAGCGTAAAATAGCAGCTTAACACTGCTATGTTTCGTATGGTGAGTGTAGAGTACCGGAGACCCTTTTTACTGGAAAAGAGGCATTCCGTCTTAGTCCTCACGGGTGACAACGCATCTGCATTTTGAGTCTTTATTGAGGATAGATGAAGATGTCTATGGGTCACATTAACCACTTACCATCAGGTGGACTGTGTGCTCGTTTGTCACCCTATCCTATAAAAAAAAAAGAGCTCAAAGGTCCTGTTACTACAAAATATACAATCCCTATATGATTTTCTGATGAGAGAAGGCTTGGGCCCAGCAATGGATCGAATGTAAGCTTTGTGTTTATTAATAAAAAAATATTCTTTGAAATACGTAATTAAAGTAGGTATTTCCACGATGAAATACTTCACCTAAAACTAAAAATTATCGCCATAAATATTACGCAAAATTTTCATTATGAAGTGCAGCAATCAGTGTTGAGCCGGTGGTGGAGCGTAACGGCATTATTTCTTAGCTTCGTAATCTTTGGGCATTGCATAATGCTTAGATGGGTACCTAGATGTTCATCTAATAGTTATTTTTAAAATTAATTGTTTGCTTTTTATTCATTCATTTTGTTACGATTTTGTTTTGTTTGGTGGTGCTGCAGCTATATTGTGGTTGCAGCACGAATGGGTCGGCTCAACCGGGGTAGGACCACGCTCTCACAGAATACCAGTTTAAAATAGCATCTTAATGCTGCTGTGTTTCGTACGGTGAGTGTTGAGATCCCGAGACCATTTTTACTGGAAAAGGCATTTCATTACAGTCCTCAGGGATGACAACGCATGTGCATTTTGATTCTTAATTCAGGATAAATGTAGATGTCTATGGGCTGCAGCATCCACTTACCTTCAAGTGGACTGTGTGCTCGTTTGTCACCATTATTCTATAAAAAAAAATATCTATCCTATCAAAACTCATTGGGGTGATACTTGTCATAGTTGCTACACTTAGCAGTTGTTTGTATCATTAACTTACATTGAGAAGTAGTACATTATAACGCAATGTTACCTTAAAAGTTTGGGAACTCCTAATCACGGGGGGTCAAGTCTCTATGGAGCCGATGCAAACGTTGGGCAAAATAAGCGAAACAGAGACAGCGCTATACGCAAAACAGAGAAATCACTATTAAACCATGTTACGCATTGTATTTCAATTACAGTTTAGGAACTTTTATTTTTGCATTTTAATATCGTTGTCGCCTGCCCATTAAAATTATCTTTACTTATCTTATAAATTATAAACTATATATATTTTGTAATATATATAACAAATAAAAGTTGTTCATGAAAGTATAAATTAAATTATACGTTCCGATTATTTTTATGTCCGATTGAAATGATTACTCTGTGCAACAAGCTCTGTAGCCGAAAATATAAATGTATCTAATATCTATGGCTGTTGTGAAATAAAAACGTAAACTAGATTATTATTTATTACATATTCATAAAATTAAGAAAAGAACAAGTTTCAAAGTTCATTTTACATCAATTAGATATTATTTTAAACGGGAATGTTTCAAATCATTTTCATATTAAATGTAATTATTTTTGTTTAACTTTTCTAAGCCAAATTCAAAACTGATGTCGATTTAGTATATTTCGTAGAAAAATAACTTAAGTGTGGTGTTACTAGCCAGTGAATATTTAATTTATGGTGATTTATTAGAGTTGTTTTACTTAATGAAGATGTTTAACAAATAATAATGGATTACTGAAAACGGTGTGTTCTAAGATGCGTCTATAATCATCTAAAATTGAGTGCCCAAGTTTATTTCTTTGTCTATAATATTACTAGTCAATAATATATTTAAATCTCTATGAAAATAATTGTTTTATTTCTGAAAAACTATTAACCATCCCAATTTTCTACTTATGTATCAATGTATAGCTAATTGTGAACTTTAAGCTTCCTCTTAAGGTTTGTGTTATTAAATATTTAAAATTTCCATATATTTATTACTATTTCCATTCCAGTTTTTTACTAATGTAGAATGTAATATCTACATTCGTAGAAAATTGGAATGGAAATAGTAATATATTATGATTAAAAATAGAATATTGAATGTGAGGGTGGGCAATGAGCATTATACATATACACACGTACACATTAACATCTGTTAGTTCATGGATCAAAAACAGGCGCGCTAGTGTCGCAAGCTGTTGGCATTTTAATTGTATGAAGTTTTCGTTCTTCCCGTCAGGGTACATCATAGAGTAGAGTAATATATTATGTATTCTGTGCTCCTGCAGGCTTACTCTCGAAAGCAATTCCGATCGATCGGGATTGGAATTGTGACGTTTCGTACTCTTGAAAGCGACTCTAGCGCCAAATTAGTTCAATATTGTGTTGTCATTTTATGAACTAATTGAAATTGGAATTGAAATTATCTACTCCAATAGTAACCATAATCGGCACTCTTGACCGCTCTTGACGCAGTTTTGACAGTTAGTTGTAGAGATGAGTCGTACTAGGTAAATTTTGAACTAGGTGCACTTAGTCAAATTCCGTACAAATACTCGATCCAAATACCTGTTCCACTTAGTCTATGAAGTACGCGTAAAGTTTGATATTGTTGGAATAGCTTACACTTTGAAGTATGCTTAGTCTTTACTTACAACCGATACGTGAAGGTTATGAATAGTAATCATCCATTCATACTTTATATAGGCTTAATACTGTCAACGTCAAGATTTATTAACATTCTAGATTGTTGGCGTGTAGGGTTGCAATTGATTTTATTTTAAAGTAATCCGATTTTAGTCTTTTTTTTAAACAGAAACAGAAACTTTTTTATTCAATATAGATTATAAATAATACTTATTGAAAGTCACTCTTTTGTTTGATTACCACCGGTTCGGAAAAAACCTCTGTCCTGGGAAGAACCAGCAAGAAACCCAGCGGGACTTTTTTTTTTAAATAACAGCTTACAATCATGATGTTACACAAATTAACAACACAACAAATTAGAAATAGCTTGGTAGCGATCACCTCATTTCCAGGGGTTATTATCATCCATAAATTCCTTAATATTATAATAACCCTTTTTATACAAACTTAGTTTAATAAAGTTTTTGAACTTTGAACAGGTCAAACTTTGTATATTTTCTGGAATTTTGTTGTAAAAGCGTATACATCGCCCCAAGAATGAATTACTGACTCGATGGAGTCGAGTAACTGGTACTACTAGCTTGTGTCTGTTCCTAGTATTTACAGAATGAATATCACTTATTTTTGTAAAACTACTTTTATTTTTGTGTACGTACATTACATTTTCATAAATGTATTGAGAGGCCAAAGTTAATATATTAATTTCCTTAAATTTTTGTCGCAGCGACTCTTTAGGCTTTAAATCATAAATTGTTCTTATGGCCCTCTTCTGCAAAACAAATATAATTTCAGTGTCAGCTGCGTGTCCCCATAGCAAAATACCATACGACATTATGCTATGGAAGTAGCTGAAGTAAACTAGTCTAGCTGTTTCAACACTGGTTAGACTTCTAATCTTAGTTTTGATATATGGGGGCTCCATTGAAGCTTCGCGTCTAGTGTGATTCCAAGAAAAATGGTGGTATCTACAAGACTCAGTTTCTTTAAATTATTTTTGTTTCATTTTTTAATTACCTGTCTACAATTATTGATTTATATACGCGCAAAAAATCAGACTTAAGAATTTTAAAAACTTAATTGTATTTTACAAATGTTAAACTCAGCCATTTGTTGGTATTTGTCCGTAAAATGATGCCAAGCGACACTGCTTCCTTTAGAAGCCATTTTTTTAAGCAATAAACACTTTAATGTCTCATGTATAAATAAAAAATAAATCGAAAGTTCTTTAACCACATAACAACACTTCGTTACGAAAACCTATTGCTAAATAAGTCTAGTAGTATCTTAGGTTAGGCAACTATATATCTTACAGCCAATTTTAAAAACACATACTAACTCGCCATATAATCCAAAAAAAACATCTACACGGGGGAATCATAACGTCATTAAACAAATTTATGTAAAATCTAAATTTGCTGAGAGACAGTACTGTGCCCAATCAAGATATATGTATAATTACTTAAATAAAAAATTAAACTTTCACCGGCTTAATTATCGCGAATGTAAAAAAATACTTACCGATCATCTTAAAAAATTATCTTATCACACCACAGAAAACATTCTACGTCACGGAATTAAATAATATATTTGTTTATCAGAATAGAATAGAATTAAATAAAATTACATAAAATAATAATAATAAAAATGCTTACACTTTTAAGCACCTACAATCACACGTACACACATGCACTCACACGCGCACACTCACACAAACACACACACACACACACACACACACGCACTCACACCCACACACACACACACACACACACACACACACACAAACACACACCTACTCTAAATCATAAGTAATCTTGCTCGGTTTATCTCAATATTTAATGTTATTAGGAAGAGCGGTGCCTCCTGACACAGGTATTCTTTTATACTTACTAGGAGGCTCCAATTACTTTATTATTTAGAATGCCTTGAGAAAGAAATAAATGGACTTATAATTTTTAATTTTAATTTAATTTTAATCAATACGGTGCCGAGATCACATTTGCATGAGTCCGTACTAGACACTCGACTTAGTGTTGCCGTTTGGACAATCTAGTTTGTGGCTAAATAGAATAAAAAAGTGATCAGCTTTTAAAAAAAATCGTAATCGAAAAGTAGCTAGAAGTGGCTAATATCACAATATCCTTTGCCTACTTTAATATTCTATATTGATAATTAAATAATATACAGGGTTAGAGATAAGTGGGTTTAATTAAAACCGGATCTAATTAAGTATTTATTAAAACTAACAATAATGTTTGTACGTATCTACAATTAAAATTTAGTAACTAATTGAATTATTTGAAAAAAAAAATTAATAATCAATTTGTAGGTCTGCAATGTCATCTGGTAATTCTATAACCTCTTCGTCAATGGGTGATGATGATGTAGATGGTGTTACGATTTGTTTTAAAGGTTTGACAGTTTTTTTAATTTTTTTTAAAACCTCAGGCGGCAAAACATAGTTGTGACAATTTTTCTTCTTTATTTTTAATTGATTTCTAATCATTATTATAGAATTGAGTGTCAATGAACACATTCTATTTCTCAATTTATTTTTTACAGTGTTCATCACGCTGAACACCCTTTCTACTTCCGCATTAGAGTGAGGAAGGGACATTGCAGCAATAGCCAAGTCAGCTAGTTCTCGAAATGTATTAAGTCCTGCTGCATTCTTGTATTTTAAGACTTGCGCCCAGAATTTAACACTGTCTCCTGCAGTTTCCCATTCTATGAATTGTATAGTTTTCCATTGTTGAACAATTTTATCTGTTTTTTGGTCATCGAATCCCAATTCTCTTGCTAATCCAACCAGTGCATGAGGATCCTTGATCTGTTTTAATGTGTTCTCTGGACTTAAGAGTGTTACTTTTGCTAGGATCTCGTAATTAGAAGGTATTCTGTTCTGAATTTCTTGTACCAACTTGACACTGAAGTCGATGCATCGTTTTTTGATATTAGAAATTGCTTGCGGAGATAAGTTGCTATTACTGGCATGAGATTCGAAAAGATGTCCCAAATGTGCAACTGGATCTAGATGATCTTCTACTTTGATAGTGAGGAAATCTTTGTCTGTTGTCGCGGCGCCTGGTATTATTATTCTAACGCAGACAGATCGTAACAAGGTCATCAGAGTTTCTAACAGTTTGACAGGATCAATATTTTCACCTTCAAATACCTTAATGCCAATTTGAACGTAGTTAAGAATACTTTTCAAAAAACATAAGTAAAGACGATTACCCTCGTCATTGTACATTTCCCAAAGAAGTCCCGCTGTATAGCA